TGTTTTCTGTCGATGTACGTGGCAGTTTACTTACAAGGTCGGCAAACAAGGCCTTTGCCTTCTCGCAGATAATGTTCTCGGACACCATATCATCTGCTAGTTGCTTCTCGTTTATCCAGACGAGAAGTAACTTTTCTACATTTTGCAGAACATGTGGCCATTGCTTTGATACTCTCGTGGCTCCTTTTGCTGCATCTAGCCCCCTTATTTCTTCTTTCTTCTTTAACCACTTGCCCTCCAGAGGATTTACCCCCCCCCAAAATGACCAGGCCTCTTTTTGCTATTCAGCGCCGCACTAATTCGACTGCCAAAACGTCTCTCTCATGTGGTTCCCCCATACTCAGGAGAAGTAGCAGAATGTATTTTGGGGAGTAATTCCACATATACCCATGGCATGTGTGAGCAATAAATCATTTAAGTGACAATTTTATGTTTTTTTGTCATTTTCCAAAAACTTGGAAAAAATGTATTTCTTTTATTGATTCAACATGCCTCTCAGCAAATAGTTTGGGGTGTCTACTTTCCAAAAAGGGGTCGTCTTATGCCCAGCATTGGAAATTTATGCCACACATCACTCTTCTAACCACCTGAAGATCAAGCCTTTTCTGACACTTTTTGTTCACATGAAAACAATCTATATTTTTTGCTAGGAAATTAATTTAAACCCCCAAACATTATATATTGTAAACACCCTAGTGAATAAAATGGTGGGTGCTGCAATTTTTTATGTCACGTACTCGCACAGCGATTTTTCAAACGCAATTTTTAAAAATAAAAATACACTTTTTTTACTTGTAATGCACAAAAACACAATATATTGGCGAATTATTTGGTAAAATATAAGAGATGATGGTATGATGAGTAAATATATACCAAACATGACATGCTTTAAAACTGCGCATGCCCCATGCAATGGCGACAAACTGCATACATTTTTAATATCAATAGGCAACGTTTTAAAAGTTACCATTTTAGATTTACAGAGGAGTTCTAGTGTTAGAATTTCTGCCCTTGATCTGACGTTCGTAGCGATACCTCACATGCATGGTTCAACCACTGTTTACATACCGGAACAGGTGGGGTGAGGGTGCTTTTTTTTTGATTGAGTTATTTTGATTTTTTTTTTTATTATTTTTACACTGTCCCTTCATTTTTCATTTTTTTTAAATCACTTTTAATGCTATCACAAGGAATGCAAATATCCCCTATAACTTCAATGGGCATTGTCATATATTTTTTTTTTAGAAATCTGGGGTCTATCAGACTCTAGATATGTCCTCTGCCCTTACGTTATCTAATCAAACCGAGATCGGTGTGATCAGATGCTTTCCAAAATTACAAATGGTGCTGTTTATAGCCTGCGAAACTGAAGTGATGAAATAGCTTCCGATTTCTTAGGCTATAGAGATGATTGGCACCATTCTGGTCTCCAGTCAGCTCTATGGTCAGCTGGCAGAAACACCGGCTGCATTCTCAAGTTCCCTTAATGGCACGGGATTGCCCGAGAAGGCCGTGGAAGGCAGAGTTGGAGCATCATCTCCCACTGCTTGTAAAAGCAATCCTGCAGCTAATTAGACACTAGGATTGCTTTTATATGAAAGCCAATTGCTGGCTGAAAAACATGATGCCAGGATGATGCCTGCAGCCATAGGCATCATCCTGGTATAACCATTCAAAATCCAGTTATGTACCAGTACATCGCTGGTCCTTGTTGGGTATATATGCTATGTTCTTTTTTTTTTTTTTGTATGCAGCTTGTGGGCTGAATGAAAAAAAGAGAAGAAATCTCTGCCAGAAAAAGCGTGTGGTATGTCCACCATTAGAATATACCGCCCTGCATCCACCCACTTCTAATGGTGGGCACACATTAGGTCGCACGATGCCACATGCACCAGTTCCAAGATTGCACAAATGTCTAAATAGTGGCATTCTTGAATAAAAATTGTCCACGTATAAGTGGTACCACAAATGGAAAAAGGATGAAACCAAGTCCCAAACTATCTTGCCACTACTCCCCATGTAGTCTGGGCATCCGGGGGGCTCCATGTGATTATATTTTCCCTCGTAAATCTGAAACTTATAAGGTATAGCCTGTTGCCCTCTCACAAGTCTCATACATCTTGACCCCATATCTGGCACGCTTGCTGGGGAGAAATTGTTTGAATGCAAAGTGGCCAGAAAAAAATAATGAGGGACTCATCATCGCAGATTTTTTGCTGGGGAGTATAGACATCTGCAAATTTTTGGTTAAGATGATTTAAGAGGGGCCGAATTTTGTGGTACCGGTCAAATTCAGGGTTACCCCTGTGGACCAATACAACCGCAATTAATTTTTTTTAGTAATGCCCATGTTGAAGGTCCAAAAAAAATGTAAATTTGGAAATCGTAATGTTTTTCCATGCGAATGGTCTGGCAAAGTTTGAATTTGGGTTGCCGGCGATAAATTGTTGTGAATATAAATTGCTTTGATCCACAATCAATGCATACAGATATTCTGAGAAAAACAGGGAGTAGTTAAATTTGCTGTTTCCACCTGAATTCCAGGTTGGGCAGTGAATGGGGGAAGTACGAGTGCTGCAGAATTTGTGGGCTGCCAGTCAGGATTTGCAAGTACATCCGGAAGGATACTAGGGGCTCTATGGGCCTGTGTGTGAATTCTTGGTGGTTGCGGGACACTACTTGTGCTCGCCACCGCAACAGCTTGTACTGCACTTATGGGACTCACCACGTCACCAAGTGATGCTGCAGTGCTGGTATGTGAAAGACCAGTATGTACTAGGCCACTGGTGCTCGCCAGTTCACCAAAAGGTAGTGCGGCACTAGTACTGGCACTCTGCTGCATATGAGAGTCATCCAAATTTACCGGCAAGTGCTAACAGAGATCAGGCCTGATTCTGCAAACACTGCGGTTTTGTGCGCAATGTATCAAGTGACAGTGACCTACTGACACTGCACTTGCTGGGGGAGAAGGGGGGGTAAGCATAGGGGCTATACACAGGTGCTGGCAGGTGCCGGGGCTGATCCCCCTAATGCTGCGTTTTTGGAGACACTATACTAATGTGAACGTTGGTATAGTGCTGATCTGATCAAAGATATTGATCCGTTCAGACACTAGCAATGGAGGTTTATTGTGTATGAGCTTGTTCCTGGCAATCAAGGGGTTAAATGTGATTACTGGTGTACTGACTGGCAATCTGATGCTATCTGGGAGTGGCGTGAAAACCACAGGAGTGCGATTCACGTACAGTGTATATATTTGTGATTTTGCGCACCCGTGCCACCCTGTAGCAGTATTTCTGCTATAAGGCAGCCAGGAAGTGCTTACATAAGCGGTTTGTGTTAAGGCGTTGCATTGACACTGACACTGACACTGACTGCACTGACAACTGCGCGGTCATGCAATACTGCACTAAAATTAAATTTACGTTCCTTTTTCCTCACAAATTGAGCTTTCTTTCAGTGGTATTTGATTGCCTGTGCGTTTTTTATTTTTTGCACTATAAAAACCAACAATTTTGAGAAAAAAAACAATATTTTGGACTTTTAGCTATAAAACATGTCCAGTAAAAAAATTAAAAAATAAAATTTCGTCATAAATTTCAACCAAAATGTATTTTGCAACATGTCTTTGCTAAAAAAAAATCCCAATATGTGTAAATTACTAATTACTAATGGCACTGGGGAGGAAGGGGTTAACATTAGAAGGCAATCAAAGGGTTAACTGTGTGAGGGGAGTGTTTCACTAGGGGGCAGGGGGGTGTGCTTCACTGTAAGCACACTGATCCGGAAGGTGGAGCTCATCCATTTGGATCAGAGTACTCAAACTGACAGGGAGGAGAGCTGCACTGTAAACAATGCAGCCGTCCTCCCTATCAGTGTTTGCCAGAAGTCACCAGGCTCGGTGGGTAATCACTGGCTGGGATCTGGTGATTGACCGCGATCGGCGCTGCGGGTAGGGCAGTCGCACGCCTCGCACGCGCCCCCTACAACGAAATGCAGGATGTTTGCTGGGCTTGCAAAACATTTGCATACCAAGTTACTCGCAATCCAAGGTATTACTGTGTGTGTATATATATATATATATATATATATATATATATATACACATACACACACACACAGCAGATTCCCAAGATGAATGAAAGGTGAGCATCATGCAAGTCGACATTCAACCATAAAGAAAATGTATTAAATCGTCACTTTCCACCAAGGTGGGTAAAGGGTAATAAGCCATGTAACAGACCCCAGACACCCACGACTGGGTATCTCCGTCAAGCAGCTGCTTCTCAGGCTCTGGAACACGAGACCAGTGACTTTGGCTATTGTTACCCCAAGATCCAGATGACACCAGATTTGAAGTAAGCCAGAAGGTAGACTACTTTATTTGAACACAAATACAAGATGTATACACTCAGGGGACAATCCCCCCTCCCTGCATAATGACACAGGGTGGGGCAATCTACATTTAGTAACAGGAAACACACAGGTATTCAAACTTCACAGCAGCAGACAGTCCCATCAGGAGGGAAGGCTTCTGGAGACCCCCCCCCCCCACTAAGCTAATACACATAAACACATATATCCCATAATAGTTTGCTCCCAAAGGAGACACACAATAGAACAATGGGATACAACCACATAACACCAAACAATCCACAACCCCCACCCCACTTATCTCCTAGACATGTCTGCACAATATTAGGACAGATCACCCTGTACCCCTAACAGGCACAGGGTGATTTACACATATGAGGGATATGGGGAGCTGAGACAGGGGTCTCCCCACCTCTCCAAAGTGAGCTGGGTTCCATGGGCCCCCCACCCAAAGGACTCCCATCACAAGCCACATAGGAGAATGGAGGGGTTTCCCTGTATAGAAGAGATTGGTAAGAACCCTAGCTGTTGGAATCTAACATGTGAAATTGCAGCATTAGTGCAAAAGTAATGCAGAAAGCAGGGGCGGACTGACAACTTATGGGACCCCCGGGCAATAGGGGATCATGGGGCCCCTGTGTCCTTGCCCAAACTCAAAAAAGCCTATGAAAAAGGTACATGGGGCATCTCATGGGGCCCCCTACTGACCCCGGGCCCTCGGGCAGTGCCCGAGTTTCCAAATGGTCAGTCCGCCCCTGGCAGAAAGGAAGAAAAGGTAAAACACTAGATAAATAGAAATAGGGAAGGGGGAATGATGCACAAGGATGCATTACTTGTATCCCTATACCAATACCCAGAATTGGATGGGGGCAGAGCAGGGGCGGACTGACAACTCATGGGGCCACCGGGCAATAGGGCATCATGGGGCCCCTGTGTCCTTGCCCACACTCAAAGCTCACCCAAAAAAAGCCTATAAAAGGTACCAGGGGCATTTAATGGGGCCCCCTACTGACCCCGGGCCCTCAGGCAGTGCCCGAGTGCTCGAGTGCTCGAATGGTCAGTCCCCCCTGGGTGCATGAGTGCTCGAATGGTCAGTCTGCCCCTGAGGCAGAGCATTTTGCCCACAATAGGTTTAATAACATTTTCAGTGTTTTCAGGTAGCACATAACCTAGCTATGCTAAAGAAGTCTCAAGCTTGTTGTGGTCTGGCACAGGTCAAAAGAAATAAACACACCAAGCATTCAAATTATTTTATGCATTTTGTAAGAAAATATATTTTTACAGACTCTTGTAATCTACTTTGCTGGTTTTTCAAACTATTTTAAATTACACTCTAGGAAAAATGCTGTAATTTTTAGCTTGAAGTTAAAAGTATCCTTTCCAATTTTTACAAAATGACATTTAAAATAATGTTGTTAATTGGCACCAAAAATAACAATAACACCAAGTTTATATCAGCAGCAATTTGATCAGTCGTCTAACTTGATCATTATGTCAGCACTGTCATGATCAAGAAGGAATTCTGTTTCAGTGTATGCTCATCTGCAGTTTTCATTCGTTGATTTGCTCCATTCATCAGACATGCATTATATCACTTGAATAAATGCCATTTTCCAAAGACAGATTTTTTTTCCCGGTTACTGAAAATGCTTCTCTTTGCTGTAATGCTGACTACTACAATTTAGAATAAATCTAGGGACAGATGTACAGCACTGTTATACAGACAACCTAATTGTTTTACTAATGCAGATCCCACAAATGAATTACAATACTTTGAAGACAGGTTGATTTTAGCATGTATGTGATTTTATGTCTGTAACAATTCAACTTTACATTTATAAAAAGTGGTTACATTTGCTCAGGCTAAAGTTTCTGATGCTAGGATTTTAGAGCTGGTATATTTGGTGTAAGAAAGTTAGACATTGGCATGGAAGATAGGGTAGAGCACTACTCTCTGGGTCAGTACCACCAAAATCTAATGTACCATACATTTATGTAGCATACACTAAATATACAGATAGATAGACAGACAGACAGACAGACAGACAGACAGACAGACAGACAGACAGACAGACAGACAGACAGACAGACAGATAGATAGATAGATAGATAGATAGATAGATAGATCAGTCTCCTTTGTTTTCAAGAGACCACTCTACCAGTAGGAGTGGACTCATTTTTTTAGGCTTAACCATATATTTATTCTCCAGCCACTCCATTTACTAGTCTAAAATTATCTTTGGTAAATTTTCTTGTTGCACAATATGAGCATAATAAAAGTAGACATGTCATGTAATTTCATTTTGTTTTGGATGCATTTGTTCATTAAAGGATTTGGTCATATTCCTTATGTTGAACCAATTCATTTTAGGAATTCCTTTAATATTTTTGCCATTCGTTTCATATATTTTCTGGTCCGGGTGAATTCAACAAATTTTGCAGTTTTTCCAGAATATTGCTACATATTTGTTATATTATTAAATTGGCTGGATTTGATATTTTTTGCGCTATTCAAACCCACCAAGAGAAATGGCATGAGCTGGTTGGGCAATGTCGAATGGCGTCATGTGCATCCAAATTGATGGATGTAACAAATTTTTGGATCCATTCGTTATCCGAATTCGGAAACTAATTAAAAAATGTAATTAATTTTCCCATGGGCCTGTACTACTATCACATCATGAACTAAACAAATAAAAGAAATGCATTTGTTAATTTTGTTACAACTTTTATCGGATTTGTTTACATTCATTACTATGCCTATTTGCAGATTTGTGTACATTCGAATCTCTAAAAATGAAATTTTGTACAAAAAAAAAATCCTAATAAAATGAAATGCTCACAACTTGATAAAAAAGACAACAGTATGGGGGAGAATTACATGGTCTCTTCATATACAACAATAGAACATAGTGTTTTTTGATGGACAGTATATATTGAAGCTTTATCCAAGTGATGGTCAATCCAATTTTAACCACTTAGCAGTTACTTGGACTCTGGAGGTGGGATCTCAGCACTTACAATTACTGACAAGAGAAGCAGACAAGATTTTAAGAGAGTCACGTTCACCTTTTTATAGTTAATGTTTATAATTAGAGATGAGCGAATTATTCAAAAATTCGATTCGGCTGATTCGCCGAATTTCAGGAAGAAATTCGATTCGATGCGAATTAATTCGCTACGAAGTTAACTTATAAAAAGGGTTTCTAGGCTTCAGAGAACCTTTAAATTAGTGCAGAACACTGTACCTTTAATTTAAATGCCCTTGGAGATGAGGAAGGAGAAGGAGAAGGATGAGAAGAAGGAGAAGGATGAGAAGAAGGAGAAGGATGAGAAGAAGGAGAAGGATGAGAGAGAGGAGAAGGATGAGAAGAAGGAGAAGGAGAAGGATGAGAAGAAGGAGAAGGATGAGAAGAAGGAGAAGGATGAGAAGAAGGATGAGAAGAAGGAGAAGGATGAGAAGAAGGACAGTTCTGTGACAGTTTCTGTCTATTTCTGACAGTTCTGTGACATTCACTCCATACAGCGGTTTTCAACCGCTGTATGGAGTGAATGTCACAAAACTGTCAGAAATAGCCTATTTCTGACAGTTCTGGGACATTCACTCCATACAGCGGTTGAAACATTGTATCTATTTGTTTCCATAAATGGATCCATTTATGGAAACAAATAGATACAATGTTTCAACCGCTGTATGGAAGAAATGTCCCAGAACTGTCAGAAATAGTCTATTTCTGACAGTTTTGGGACATTCCCTCCATACAGCGGTTTCCGGCAAAAAGTGTATATGCAGAGTTCCTCTATTCTGCAGATACACTTAGAGGAGCTCTGCAGATACACTTAGAGGAGCTCTTAGAGGAGCTCAGTGATACACTTTTTGCCGGCTTGGAATTATTCTTATTTTTTTCATCCTACTTCTTCTTCTTCTTCTTCATCCTCATCCTCTTCTTCTTCTGAGGATGAGATGAGGATGAAGAAGAAGAAGAAGAAGTAGGATGAAAATAAGATTAATTCCAAGCCGGCAAAAAGTGTATGTGCAGAGCTCCTCTAAGTGTATCTGCAGAGCTCCTCTAAGTGTATCTGCAGAATAGAGGAACTCTGCAGATACACTTTTTGCCGGCTTGGAATTATTCTTATTTTCATCCTACTTCTTCTTCTTCTTCTTCATCCTCATCCTCAGAAGAAGAGGATGAGGATGAGGATGAAGAAGAAGTAGTAGGATGAAAATAAGAATAATTCCAAGCCGGCAAAAAGTGTATGTGCAGAGTTCCTCTATTTCTGACAGTTCTCTGACAGCTTCTTCACATGTACAGCGGTTGAAACATCTGTATCCTAAATGGAAACTAATAGATACAATGTTTCAACCGCTAAACATGTGTTCCTTCTGTCAGAGAACTGTCAGAAATAGCGGAGCTCACTGCAGGGACACTTTTGCCGGCTGATCGGGAAATATTCGATTCGCGCACCCGAAGTAGGCAAAATTTCGGATTCGACGCGAATCGAATTTTTCCTGAAATTCGTATCGAATTCCGGTTCGCCTGGTTCGATTCGCTCATCTCTATTTATAATTTACCAGGGCAGCATCCATATATCCCTATGGTAGCAGTCCAAGTGAAATTTCAAAGTGGCAAAGTGCAAAGACTCCCTTCTGGAGCAACAAAGAGATACAATAATAGATGCAGACAGGGCGACTTGGGTGTGAGCTCACAAGGGTGCCCCCATAGAAAGCAGCTTTTCATGGGTGCACTTGCCACAGAAGTAGAGCCTGGAATACCAGCGGGGGACCCCAGAAGAGGAGGTTCGGGGCTTGTCTGTGCAAACCATTGCAAAGAACAGGTAAGTATACCATGTTTTTTTTTTGTTTTTTAATGATGGCTTAATGTTACTTTTAAGCTACATTCCAGTCAATACTGCTAACAATGCTTTGAAATACATACAAAGAACAGAACCCATCCGTTCATTTTTTTTTTGTCTAGGCATTGTTGTACCAATCCATTCTATTTGCTTTTGTTAGCAGTCTGGGTAATCTGGGAACTCTTATTTGGAGGTATTCCCAAAAACACTCACTTTAGGCTCAATGCTGTCTTTCATATTGGATATAGTGCATATATATATTGGTGCTAAACTCAGTGGACATACTTCATGCAGTTATTTCATTTTAGTTACTTCCTTGAACATCTGAATTTTTTTCCCATTCTTAGTAATAAAGAGAAAACCAGGTTAGTGCACTGAGCTCCCGGAGGAAACACTGAGAAATGTTCTATGTAGAATAAAGTCAAATGAAGTGCTTTAACATGAACATATACAATACTTTACAGATCCAAAGATGGCAAAGTGAATATAGAGCTTAGCAAGTATTTGAACTGAAGAAACTGTTAACATGAAATAAAAGTCTGTACTGAGGAACATCTAGGCTATCAGGCTGTCATACTTAGTCATTACCATAAATATTTTCTAAACCTCTGAAATGAAGTTGGTCTGACCTCACTTGCTGCAATGTTGTTCTGGGTTACCTGAATTTTGGTGTTCTTTGTGTATTTCTTCTAAATCTGGGCAACAATCCAGCCTGAAACAACTCTTGCACTTTGCCTCTGTTCAATAACTTCCTGTAATAAAGACCATTCACTACTGCTCTCTCTCTCTCTGTGCAGAGCGACTGGTTTTGTATCCACCC